GGGGGGTGATTTCCTGCTTTCTGTCTCTCTGCCTCTCTCTGTCTCTCTGGCGAGCACACGTGCCCTATAGTGAAAACCTCTCAAAAAAAAAAATATATATAGCAGTGTTTGCCTTAACATGCATGAACTAACCAGAAAGAGACAGAGACAGTGAGAGAGAAAGTGAGAAATCACCCCCCAGGGGGGATGGCCACGCCGCAATCCCTTCTCCTCCAGTCTCCTCCCGGGATCTTGGGCATGGACACACACATGCCCTGTGTGAGTTTCAAGACACTGGATGTGGGATTCAAACGATGGTCGGCCATGCGGAGGTCCAGTGCCGTAACCGCTCTGCCATCTGCTGGCCCCCCGTGTGTCTGTTTTATAAGGGTGTTTGTGATCACGTTTGAGGACCCACCTGACATGTAGGGTAATCTCCTCCTCTCAAAATACTCCGTGGGCACAGCCGGGAGGCAAAGCTCTGACACCGAAGCCACCCGGGAAGATCTTGGCTTTGCCTCCCGAGGTCTCCCCAGCCATGCCAGGCACTCGCGTGCTGCCAGTAATGCCGGGTAATGGTGTGAAGGTACTGTTGGGGGTGTCTGTCTCTCTCTCTCTCCCTGTCTCAGTGTGTGTCTCTCTCATGGAATAAATAAGCTTGAAACAATCTTTTTTTTTTTTTTCCGAGAGGTTTTACTATAGCGCGTGTGCGCTCGCCAGAAAGACACAGAGAGACAGAGAGACAGCGAGATATCACTCCCCCCAGGGGGATGGCCACGCCGCAATCCCTTCTCCTCCATTCTCCTCTTGGGATCTTGGGCATGCACGCACACGCGCCCGGCGTGAGTTTAAGCCACCGGGTCTGGGACTCAAACCATGGTCGACTACGTGGGAGTCCAGTGACATAGCCATTATGGCAACTACTGGCCCCAACTTTAAACAATCTTAATGGGGCCAGCTGGTGGCGCGGAGGTTAAGGCCTTGGATCCCACGTGGCCCACTGCGCCATTAGAAGCCCGGACATGGCAGCTTGAAAAACACGCTGAGTATGGGACCAGCAGATGACATAATGGTTATGTCGCTGGACTCCCACGTAGTCAATTGGGGTTCGTGTCCTGGACCCAGCAGCTTACTTAATACTCACCAGGCGTGTGTGTGTGTGTGTGTGTGTGTGCGCGCGCGCACCGAAGTCCTGAGAGGAGAATGGAGGAGAAGGGGTTGTGGCATGGCCATCCCCCCTAGAGGGTGATTTCTCATTTCTCGTTTTCTATCTCTCTGTCTCTCAGTCAAGCACATGTGTCCTAAAGCAAAAATCTCTCCAAAAAAGGAAAGAAAGAAAGAAAGAAAAACATGTCTGGGTGTGTGCGTGCCCCAGATCTTGAGAGGACAATGGAAAAGGGATTGTGGCATGGCCATCCCGCCCCAGGGGGTGCTTTCTTACTTTCTCATTCTCCCTCTCTCTCGTAGCTCATGTGCTCTATAGCAAAGTTAAAAGAAGAAACTCGTTAATGTCTTGGGCTGTCGGAATAGTCATGACTCATTTTTGCATAGATAAACATACGTCATGACTTTTCCAACAACCAGACACGTTTCCATTTAAGGTAATGGTCGCTCTTGTGTCATATAAGGTCATATCACAGACTCTGAGGAGTAGAACGTGGATGGATCTTTCCTGGGGGCCAATATTTGACATGTGACCCCTCCACCCCGCCCACCCTGCCTCCTCCCCAGGGTTCAACTTCTCGGCAGACTCGGTGACCAGTCCTGAAGGGGCCGTGAACACGTACCATCACCTCGTGGAGACGTTCAAGTTCGCGGGGGCGCACAGGTGGCGGCTGTGGGACCCTCGCAGTCACCCGGAGGTCCAGGTGAGGTTGCCTGGGCCTGGTGAGGAGTCCGCTTCCCTCTCCCAGGACTGGGCAGGGAGGCAGGGGAGATTGGAAGGGTTTACCATGACCCTAGGTCAGGGCAGCCCGGCAGGGAGGGCAGGGAGGATGTGGCGGGCGGGGGCACGGGCAGGGACCAGAGTGACTGGTGTGGGGGCAGGTGTGGTGGTGGCTCAGTATTTCAAAGGACTTGGGGGCTGCTTAGGGTCTGGGAGGGCCCTTAGGCCCCCAGGTAGAAGACAGACGGGTGGAGAGGTCCCCAGGGGAGCTGATACCGTCCTGCCCTCTGTTCTCTGGGTCCCATTGGGCCCGTCACTGACCTTGACACCTGTCTGCCCACCCAGAATGCCTCCCAAGACCTGCTGGGGGAAGCTCTGGCCCAGTACATCCGTCAGCGGATCGACGGCCGGGGTGACCACGAGCCCAGCCACTACGGCCTGGCTGGGGCCTGGGGCCACAGGATGGGCACGGCCCATGTGTCCGTGCTGGGGGAGGATGGCAGTGCCGTGTCTGCCACCAGCACCATCAACACGCCGTGCGTGGGGCCCAGGGCAGGCGGGCAGGCTCCCTCCTGCGCTCCAGAGACCTAAGCGCATCCCCCACCCCAGCTTGTCCCGGGAGGCCCTCTCCTCCCTCTTTGCTATCAGTAGGGGTCCCCCAGCCCTGGCAGCTCTGGCTGCAAAGGCTGCTGCCGGGGTGGCCCTGAGCAAGCACTCACCTGGGGGGGACCTTACTCAGGGTTACTCTGACTGGGGGTCATGGTGGACTTTGGGGGTCCTTCCCGGGTGGTGCCGGGAAGACACAGTGGCTCTGGCATGCTGGAGGGCAGATGTGAAGAGAGGGGATTCCAGAAGGTCATGCCCTGTGTTGGAGATGGTGCCCGAGGCCCTGAGACTAGCCCAGCCCCTCCCGTCTGCAGCTTTGGGGCGATGGTATACTCACCACAGACAGGCATTCTCCTCAACAATGAGCTCCTGGACTTATGCTGGAGACGCCAGCCAGGCTCCAATGTCACCCCCAAACCTGGTGAGAGCAGTGGAATCCCCTGGGGAAGGGGAGGGACTGCATGCCAACCCTTGGCATACTTACTGAGCCGCTGTTTGCTCAGTGGTGAATGGGGGCAGGGTGGGTGGTGCTCCTCGAGGGGCTGACTCAGAAGTGAGGATGCTGGGACCAGCAGATGGCATATTAGTTACATTGCTGGACTCCCATGTAGTCAACCATAGTTCGAGTCCCAGGCCTGGCAGCTTAAAACTCATGCCAGGTGTGTGTGCGTGCGTGCCCAAAATCCCGAGAGAAGAATGAAGGAGAAGGGATTGTGGCATGGCCTTCCCCCCTGGGGGGTGATTTCTCACTTTCTGTCTCTCTGTTTCTTTCTGTCCCTAGTTCCAGGTGAGCGGCCTCCGTCATCCATGGTACCCTCCATCTTGGTCAACAAAGCCCAGGGGTCGAAGCTGGTGATTGGCGGGGCTGGGGGAGAGCTCATCATCTCTGCTGTGGCCCAGGTGAGTCTGGGGTTCCTGGCTGGAGCAGCCCTTCTCCAGGTGGCCCTGTGGTCTGACTCTCTTTGGGGCAGGGTGAGGCTGTGAGGGTTGGTGTGAAGTGGCCGATGCCTCCTCTCTCTCTGCATGCTCCTTCTCTTGCCCAGGCCATCATGAACAATCTGTGGCTTGGCTTTGATCTGACGGACGCCATTGCAGCCCCCATCCTGCATGTCAATGACAAGGGCCAGGTGGGGTACGAGCCCAACTTCAGCCAGGTAAGGTCAAGGTCTGAGCCGCCACGAGGCCAGACACCCCGAAGGGCTCCTGCTCCGAGTGCCTGCTAAAGCCCCTGGGAGGAGCTCAGCACATTTCAGTGTGGGGTTCACAAGGAGTAGAGAACCTCAATGGGAATGGGGGAGGCACCAGGCCAGCCCAGTGGCCTCCAAGGCAGAGAGCAGGGGGCTTCTCCCAGACTGAGGACCTCAGCACCTTGGTCTCTGGCTTGTTTATGCCATTTTTGGGAAGCTAGTTTTTCCTGGCTGCAGCCTCTCAGGCTCTCCCTCATGGTGAATTGTTTCCTTGTGTGATTTACAACTTGTAAGGAGTTTATTCATAAGGGAAGTTATTTTTTCCTGTGGGAGTCTGCGGAGTGAATTGCTAGAGTTGATTCTTACAAATACTCTTTGGTTCCTTCATAAAAGCCCTTAGGGTGGGGGGGCAGCAGGTGGCATGGTGAAGGTAGCTGGATTCGCACATGGCCAACTGCAGTTCAAGTCCTAGACCTGGTGGCTTGAAAATCATGCTGGGCCCATGTGTGCGTATGTGTGTCCAAGATCCCGAGGAGTGTGGAGGAGAAAGGATTGCAGATGACCAACCCCCCAGGGGGCGACTTCTCACTTTCCCTTCTGTTTCTCTCTGTCTCTCTCTTCTTTGGCAGGTATGTGTACCTTATAGCAAAAACCTTAATTTTGTTTTTAAATAAATAAAAGCCCTTGGGGCAGGTCCAGGGACTGAATTCCCTTGGCTCTCCTTCCCTCCCAGAGAGATGGTCAACTTCCTAATGGCTTCCTTGGAGCGTCTTTGGTCTGGGGATCCCCTGTGCAAGGATCAATTTATTATTATTATTTAAAGTTTATTGGCACCAGCAAATGGTATAATGGTTGTATTGCTGGACTCCCACATAACCAACTGCAGTTCTAGTCCTGGACCTGGTAGCTTGAAACTCATGCCATGGCATGTGCATGTGTGCCCAAAATCCTGACAGGAGAATGGGGAAGGGATTATGGCATGGCTATGACCTTGGGGGGGGGGTGGTTTCTCACTTTCTGTCTCTCTGTCTCTGTCTCTCCGGTGCCTACACAAGTACTATAGCAAAAATCTCTGTCATTTGGGGACCAGCAGGGGCTGTGTTGGTTAAAGGCGCTGGATTTCTATATGGCTGACCATGGTTCAATTCCCGGACCTGGCAGCTTGCTTTCTCCCTTTCTCTCTCTCTCTTTATCTCTCTCTGGTCAAATTTAAAAATAAATAAATAAATAATTCTTTAAAAAGATTAATTTTTTAAAAAGTTTATTTATTTATTTCATCTATGACAGACAGACATACAGCCCGACAGAGGCTTCGCAATGCAATCCACGCCTAGTCTCGACTGGCTTAGATCACAGGAATTAGTGTGTAAGCCTTAGGAGCGCAGGAGAGTCCTGGGACTTGAACCCAGAACCTCTCCCACGTGGGTTCAATGTTATTACCACTGTGCCACCACTTGGCCCTCCAGAAACCATTTAAAAGAACGACAGATTTTTGAGGCTGCAAACTTTCTGCCCTGGGTCTGTTCTACTATCTGAGTTCCAAGTCCTCAAAGCTGCTTTTTTTTTTTTTTTTTTTTTTTTTTTTGGGCACATGCACTCACCAGAAAGACAGAGAGAGACAGAGAGACAGAAAGTGAGAAATCACCCCCCAGGGGTATGGCCATGCTGCAATCCCTTCTCCTCTATTCTCCTCTCGGGATCTTGGGCACACACACACACGCGCCCAGCCTGAGTTTAAGCTATCAGGTCCGGGACTTGAACTACGTTTGACTACATGGGAGTTCAGAACCATAGCCATTATGCCAACTGCTGGTCCCTGCCTTTAAAAAAAAAAAAAAAAACTATAATTTCTGGTTTACATATAATCATTGTGCATCTTTGTGGGGTACAGTATGGTTTTTCAAAGCATGCATACGGTGTGTATTAATCACATCAAGATATAGAGGGAACCAGCAGTTAGCGTAATGGCTATGTCGCTGGACTCCCACGTAGTCGACCGCGGTTCACGTCCCGGACCCGGTGGCTTAAAACTCACGCTGGGCGCGTGTGCGTGCATGCCCAAGATCCTGAGAAGAGAATGGAGGAGAAGGGATTGCGGCGTGGCCATCCCCCCTGGGGGGTGATTTCTCACTTTCTGTCTCTATGTCTCTCTCTGTCTGTCTGGCGAGCACACACGCCCTATAGCGAAAACCTCTCCAAAAAAAAAAAAAGATATAGAATATCCATCTTGTTTGGGACCAGCAGATGGCATAGTGGTTGCATCATTGGACTCTCACGTGGCTGACCGTGGTTTGAGTCGGACCTGGGAGCTTGAAACTCACGCAGTGTGTGCGTGCATGCCCCAAATCCCAGGAGGAGAATGGAGGAGATTGTCGTGTGGCCATACACACAATTGTCTCTCTGGGAAGTGCACACACCCTCTAGCAAAAAATCTCTCTAAAATAAAAAAAAAGCTAAAAAACAAACAAAAAAGGAATATATTCATTTTATTATTTTATTCAACATTTCTTTTTCTTTTTTTTTCTCTGGAGAGGTTTTTGCTATAGGGCGCGTGCGCTCGCCAGAAAGAGAGAGACAGAGAGGCAGAAAGTGAGAAATCACCTCCTGGAGGGATGGCCACACCGCAATCCCCTCTCCTCCATTCTCCTCTCGGGATCTTGGGCACGCATGCACACATGCCCGCTGTGAGTTTAAGCCACTGGGTCCAAGACTTGAACTGTGGTCAGCTACATGGGAGTCCAGTGACATAGCCATTATGCCAACTGCTGGTCCCGATTTTATTTCAACATTGCACATTATGTTACGTTGTGCACATTCAATAATAGCTCTACTAGTCATTTTTTGTTTTTTGTTTTAAGGTTTTTGCTTAAGTTGCAGAGAGAGAGGAAAGTGAGAAATCATCCTGTCGGGGAGGATGGCCATATTGCAATTTCTTTCCCACTCACCTCTTGGGATTTTGGGACACAGTGCATGTGCAACTGTTGTGATGTGATTTTCAAGCTGCTGGGTCCAGGACTCGAACCGCAGTTGACCATATGGAAGTTTAGCCTCTTAACTACCACACCACCTGCTGGCCCCAGTTTTGTTGTTTTTTAAGGCTGACTTTACAGTTATAAGTCTCTGTTAGTCTCAAGAGCACCTTCCATGGCTCTTAGACCTTTGAGGACTGTAGACTGGGAAACTTCAGTCCAAAGGGGTGTGCAGTCCCTGAAAACCAATGGGACCAGCAGTTAGAGTAATGGCTATGTTGCTGGACTCCCATGTAGTCAAGTGCAGTTCGAGTCCTGGACCCGGTGGCTTAAACTCACCCCCTGGGGGTGATTTATCTCTTTCTGTCTCTTTGTCTGTCTCTGTCAGGTGAGTGCATGCGCCCTATAGCAAAAACCTCTCAAAAAAAAGAAAACAGAACAAAACAAAAACAAAACAAAATTTAAAAAACCCTTTATCTTCAGACCTAAGACTAAGGACCACAGTCTGTTCGGCTCTGTTCGGCTCACTCTCTGGGGTTCTACAGCCCTCCCTCCCTGGGTGGGGTCCTCCCAGTCCTGGGGGGGGGGGCTCAGGTGCTCTCTTTGAAGCTTAGATTCCAGGCATCTTAGATCCGGAGGAGCAGGAGGGTCCCAGGACACAGGACTCATCTTCTCAAGCCTTTCCTCCCTGACCCATGACCGAAGACCCTGAAT